TAATATATATAATATAGATATATATATATAAAAACAGTGGCCAACACATATACAAACCACCAATACAAACACGATGAACTATCATATTGATCTTTTTATACAAGAATAACTATCATAATTGGTCTTTTTATACAAGACTAACACAGTAGAAACTTGTTTTGTTACTTTTAATAGAATATATATATATATATATATTATATATTATATATATTATATATATATATATATATATATATATTATATATATATATATATATATATATATGAAAACTTTAATTCTGTTACATAAAATTTTTAAAAAACAATACAAATAAAACTTGTTTATGTCTGATGTATTTCTTCGAAAAATAAAAAATGATTTGAGAGAATTAAATATTCCTCTTTGGATGGTTTATATTTCACTTGATGGTTGAATTATCATGTGTTCGAATAAGAAATTTTTAAATAATAACATGCTTCTATAAAAGAAATTAAAACATTTTATAACAAAATATTTTGAATGGATATATTGTTTTAAAGTTTATAGATGTATGATAGCAAATTCTTTATAATTAGAAATTTTTAAATTCCGAAGTGTAAATTTTAAATTCCAACTTCACATTTCTACATCTATATGCATTTCTTTCATGTTTATTTGTGTGCTAGATTCCAGTTGAAGCGTTGGTTTTCGATCTTAAATGGAGAGTTATTCATTTAACACTATTCAACTTTCATTAGGTTTGTGTTATTTGACATCATTTGTAACATAGTTAATTTAACATTTATCTTTTTTTATTATGTCAAGTAGGATTTATTTCAAATCAAAGTCAACTAAGTTATATTTGACAATATGTCATGATTATTTTTGTATTGATGTATTAAAATCATTAACATAAACCATTATTATTGCTATGTTTTTTAATGAATATTGGGGGAAAATTATTGTAAAAGAAAATACGTTATGTAATTTTAAATTTTGTATTAGTAAGTTATGTAATTTTTTAGAATACATGTTACAGTTTTTTTTCCTGAACTGAAGATTATGTTTTAGTTGATAATATTGAGAGATTTTTTAATATAATTAAAATTTCAACAAGTTCGAATTATCTTATTTAGATAATTCTTTTTAGAAAATAAAACAATAAAAATAATTTAAAATTCAATTTGTTTTAATTTTTTAAAAAAATGCGAATTACTCTATCTTAACTTGTAGGAAAGAGATTTTGGATAAATTCAAATATATGTATATGTTTATAATTACCATTCATTGAGTAAGAAGTACAACTGTGTGAGAATATGGTATCCAAGGGATAAAGGAATGAAAAATTAAAATTTTTCACGCGATATAGGTACAACTATTCCCTTTTTTAAGAGTGGGTACAAAAGCATCCATTATTTCCATTTTTTTTCACAAAGTTTTATCCTTTAATTTAAAATTTGTTAAAAATGTAAGTTAGCTTATATAGTTTTATAAACAAAAACTAGAATAATTATGACTTTTTTATATATAAAAATGTTCAGTTAATGAAAGATATTTTTTAAAAAGAAAATAATTACTGTTATTTTAAATTTTAAAACAATATATAAATACAATAAAAAAATTCCTAAAATTTACAGATAAAATAGGAAAAGAAAACGTATATATAATTTGAAAATTTAATTAAAACATTGTCGGTGCTAAATTTTTTGCGGTATGGGCCTAACAATTAATGGTATATGTTGGATCAGTTAATATTAGATCCGTACTTTCTTCTTGCACCTCCATATTTTCAAAATTCCAATTATATCTCTGTAATTATATTTTCGGGTTGTGCCTCTTAGATATTTTGGATTACACTATTCGAATTCGAAATTCAGAAACATAATTTTCATATATTTTAGGTTATATAATTTGTGATGTAAATTTAAAAGACAATTCAAAATATAAATTACATTCTGAATTATAAGATTCGTAATGTATATTTATATTACGGATTATACATTTTATTATGAAATTTTTCGATATAGTTATAAAACAGAATGTGACTGGAAGTAGATAAAGAGTAGCCTAAGATACTCACCAGATTTCAATGCTTAATGCTGCCAATAGTGTCGAGTTCAGTTTCAATTCTTCTTTAATGCATCAAAGGAGAAATGCACAGGCAATGAAGGGAGGAAGGACATCTCAGTGGCGTGGGATGAAAGGGATGAAGGTATTAGACATTTCATAACATTATGGGGGTGCAAAGAAAACATTGGGTGCAGGAAACAATGTCCAAATTCAGAACATGTAATTCGATAGTCACTTTTACAAAAGATAAAATGGTTATTTTGAAAATTTGGGAGGCTCATGAAGAAATTGAGGAGGTGGAGGAAGTGAAAACCTACTAATCTCCAGCTAACTATACTATGAACTATTAGTTGTGAGACGAGAGTTGTCATAATTTAAATATATTATGATAAAAACATTTTTCTGTCTTGTTTTTAACCTTAAACTTTAATGATGTATTTTTCATCTTCCATGAAAAGTAGCAACCCATAGCTTGAGCCACATGTCACGTGCCTATAAAAAGTTGTTTAGAGTCAACTAGAAATCCACTAGGAGGAGCAGAATTCGTTGATGAAGCCATTGATGCTGGAGTTGCAACTGGCAAAAAGGTCTAAGGCGTTTTGAAAACAATCTGATCTGAAAACTGAAGTTCCACTCGTGACTGTAGCCACCACAATTCATCACCTTGTGACAACAATTATGCTGTTGAATATTAAAAGCATGCATCAACCCAAGGAAACATACCTCTTTTCACTTTTCGCTTTTTTCGTCTCTTTCTCATTCTTCATATAGAGCCTTGGGCGGCGGAAATAACTTCTCTTTGCATCTCCTCCGTTCACCTCACATCACATGCCTCATGCACCTTAGAACTATAACATCATTCATATTCAATCCCAATTTAAATCCCACCTAAAAGTTGCCATGCAAAACCCAAAACCTATTTCTGCCTACTGCATACCCTGATAAATCTCTCTTTTTTATTTACTTTAACTTTGGAAGTAAATTATTTAACGGCTATAAAAAGCCATGATTCCAGTCTCACTGCATCGACATCAACATAGAATTTAAGGTTCATTATTTTCACCCCAATGGCAGTTCCCTCATTTGTTGGGTTGAATATGTTATAATTGAGATGATTGTTGAGTGGGATTATATCTTGATGTAGATTGTGTGTATGAGAATTGGTACTGGTTTGAACATTTGAGGATGTTGTGTTAGAGTTTAATTAGGTACAAAATTGGTGTAGGATTGCAGGTAGTAAAAAGGAAGTGTTGTAGCGGATGCTTTTAGTCTAAATTGGGATTTTGGTAGGTAAATTTCTAGAGGAACAACTTTGTAACTAATGTTTGGGAATTTTTTTTAAGTAATTTTAAACTTGTCTAGAACCTTAGTTAACCAATAATCTGATGCTGATTTGGGAAGTGGTAATAGGTAGAATTGTAAAGTTAAGTTTTATTGGTTGGTTCATTTTAGGGGTTTTAACAAGTGAGAATCTAAAAGGGGAAGGTATGTGATAAAATGAAGGTTTAGAGCCTGCTTTTGGGTCAAATGTGACTTGTTTAGTCTGTTTAGGTGCAAATTTCTTTGTTTATAATTTTGTCATAATTGATTATAAGAAGTGATTTTTGAGTGAGTGGGTTTGATCTAATGTATCTTGTTTTTGACTAAATGATCAAATGTACTCAATTTCATCAATAAACCTGCTTTTGCATTATACTAGTGTCAAAGAAGTCAATTTGGTCATTTGGATAGATTAAAGGTTCATCTAGATCAGAACAACAAGTTGTTGTCATCTAGTATGGCGTTAAACAACCTTGTATGGTGCTCAACGCTGCCAAAACAGAGAGCCCCTATGCTCCAGGGTGTTGAGCACTCCTTTTTGGCGCTAAGTGATGTGCTTACATTGAGTTTTGGGCATTAGGTGAGTCTAGGCTCGCTGGACGAGTTAAGAGCAAAAGTGGTAGTGTATTCAGTGGTTGGCCGAGAGTTCTCATTGGATTGGGTAAGCACTTTGTTTGCACTCTCCTTGAGCGCTAAGGGGGACCTCATTGGGCGAGCATGAGTTTTATGATATTGTTCATGTCATGTGTATCAAGGTTGAGTTTACTTACTAGAGCATGAAGTAAGTATTGAGGAGTAGTATGGGAGACCTTTATTCGTTTTGGGATGCAATTCATAATGTCATCATCCTACAACATAACGAGATAAAAGTGTCCTTTGAAAAAAGTCTAAATCTTATGAGTGATGCTTTTATAGCTAGCAAATATAAAAGATTGGTTGAACGTGTATAAAAATATGCTTTGAGACTCATTGCTCAGGAATTCGATCGAGTGAAGCATATATGATTTGATAGTGAAAGTTGTGGATGTGTTTTGAGATTAACATATTGAAGTTGTAAGGAGAACACTAGAGAGGTGGGGGTAAACAATGTTTTCAAAATCTTTTCACAAATTAGCGTAAGCTAGTTTATAAAGATGGTATGCAAGAGTTTTAAGATTATTACATGCTAGGTTATAATGATATAAGTAAATGGAAAACATTTGAATAGAGAAACGGTAATGGTGTCATTGCCGGCAGTGACGGGTATAGCGGTGAGGTGACATAAACTTTTTTTCTCAAAAGAACCTGACTCTAATACCATGTTGAATATAGTAAAACACTATATGTGAGATTAATCTCTCTTGTGTTGAATATACACGTAAGGTCCTCTATTTATAATAGAAGAAATATGGGCTAAACCCAAAATATAAATTAGAAATATCAACAAACTAACTAAAGATAAAAGATAAATCTAAAATTAAGATAATATATCTAACTTTTTTAAAAACCAATAAAACATACCAAAATTGTTATCTACATGCTCCATTGAGCTACAAACAAAACATTTTGTAAGGTGCCTATATATTAGATGTGAACATTACTATTTTACAAAACCATTGGCACGTTGGAGATTAGAATCAATGTTAGCTAATAAAGCATATATTTAAAGAATATTTAGTTAGTCAAGCTAAAAAGTCTTCGTACTAAGACAACCTTAAAGAGGACTTTAACTCAAGAAGACTTTAGTGTACACAAGCTTCATTCAATAAAACCTAAGTTTATCTCTTAACTAATGTAGTATAGAGGTAATCTAGGTTAATTCAAGGAATAATGTCATGTGAGTTTCATTAATTGGATGCAAAAAAACATATTTTGGGGTTTTTTTTTGTGGAAACAGAAAGTAGTCATAACTAAAAGCTAAAATAATTAAACAGTGCTAAAATTAAGAAAATAAAAATACAAGATTGGAATGTAAATGCAACACATATTAAATGAAATGTATGATCAAACTAAAAAGTAAAAGTAAATATCAAAATAAAAGCATACAACATAGCAGTGCTCAAACCCATTGCTTAAAAATATGAAAAAGTAGCTAATAGCATTGTAAAATAGTGCATAACTTAGTGGTTGAAATAGTAGTTTAGAAAATCAGATATTAACATTAGATTGGAGTTCATTGTACAAAATTAAAATTAGGTTAAAGAACAATAAAATAAAAGGAAATGAAACAATAAAAAAAAGTTTAAAACATGAAATTAAAAGCGAACTAAAAAAAAAAAAGTTTACAACATTGTTAAACTCTAGAAAATAAAAAATGCCAAAACAGAAAAGCTCTAAACCTCTCCTCATCTCAACACTTAAGAAAAATTAAAGTTAGATTCGTCCTCAACGGTTACATTCCTTCAATATATAACAAAACTTTATCTCATGATACTGCCATTTGCCCCAAATCATTATTTTTTTTGTACACCAAATTTTGAATTTTTCATGTACTTTATCAAGTTATCTAAGTTTTTTATTCATCTTATTGTTGAATTCTCGTATTCTCGATGCTACTCAACCTTTCTGTTGAGTGCTTTTCTTACTCGTGCATGACTTCAATTATTCATGTATGCATATTAAAGCCATTAATGCAATGCACGCCTTCAGTTGAAAATGGTTTCACATTGAAATCGTCAACCTAAGTGCTTTCGATTTAAAATTTATTTATGCTATAGTCATACCATATGTAACTTAAACCAATATACGTGATAAATTTAAATGTGAACAATACCATATATAACTTAACCCAAATACGTAATAAATTTAAAATATAACCCTGATACGTAAATTTAAAGAAAGAAAAAATTAACCTCCTTACGTAAAAAAACTAATGTCATAATTTCAATAAAACTCGGAAGACAAAAATAATAAAATTTTGATAAAAATCACAAAAACAATAATATTTGTATTAATCTCCATCTAATACCGAATACACCCAAACAATAGTTAAGAATACTCTTAGATATTATATTTTATAAAATGAGAATAAATAATATATAATATCTAAATATTATCTCTTTCAATTTATCATATTATCTTACAAAATTCTCTTCAATTGTTATTTATTTCTATTACATTCAATATCACTATTTAATTTCAATTTTTAATTTTAATTCATATCCTTTTTTACTTTTATTCTATTTATTTCTCTCTTTCAATCCCACCCAATTAAGGATACATTTAACATACCCATACCGGGGAAAGTGAAGACAATAAATAAGAACTATGAAAGGTTAACCTATAATAATTTCAATGTAACTAAATATTGTAAATGTAAGATAATAATACTAATAATATATTATAATAACTTTATGTATAATTATTATTTACATTTTAAACACCCAAAACTACATTTAAAAAATAAATTCCTTTAACTAATTAGTCTCCTCCAATTTCATTTTTTAAAATTAATTGAGACAATTTTAAATATAAACACTATATGCTTTGCTGAGATAAAGCAACATAACTATAAAAACAACCCAGCGATCATGTTTTTGTAGAATTGAGTTCTTTTTAGTAAAATGTTAAGCGAAACTAAGCACATAATTGTGATGATAATTGACAGACTAAAAAGTACAACCACACAAGATATATAGAAATTTTTCTACCAATGAATAATAAAGACTAATACACCAAGAAGTTCTCAATTCCGATTACTGAACTAAGCAGATATAATCAAAGAAATTTTTTATCAAAATTACTTTAATGGTATTATAATTCAAAATGCCCATAACAAATAAACTCATGCTATTCATTGCAAAATCGAATAACCCAACTAAACCATTGAATAAGGAATAGAGTAATATCGTTACAATTTAACAAAAATTAACACAGCATGATTCATATAAAAACTCTAACCACCAAACTCTTGACCATGGATAAAGAAAAGTTTGATTACTGCACCATTCAATCTCCCTTCTTCCTAAATGAGCACCCTTCAGTTAACCTGGCTCTTCCACCTGTTGGTTGGCACAACACAGTCTGGCAGTTGCCACATACCACAACTGTCTGAGAGTGGCTAAACACAGTTGTTCTGCATAGCCATATTCACATCACTTATTCATATATCATTATGATCAAATTTTTTTAAAATAAAAAAAGGTCCTACTTACATGTTGAAGCAGCCTTGGCACTTGACATCCTGTAACAAATCATCTAAAGTTTACTAACAGCTTTTTTTTTATAAATAAAAAAATCAATAACATTTTCGATTTCAAATAATAATAAGAGATTCTGTACCATAAAAAAAGAATTTGGTGACTGAACAAGACGCTTGAGCTTGTGCTTTTTCTTCTCCAACTCAGCGGGAGGATTCAGCAAATCAATATCGTTTTGAAGAACCTATTCAAACACAAAAAGCAGAGAAGCAATTTCAATCAAAGTACAATATACATATAAATTATATCTAACTGTTAATCTTTCTTCTACAAAAAAAAAAAGGGTTCTATCAAACCTAATTATAAGAAAAATGTCTGAGCTTTGTTTGTAAAAAAAACCAAACAATTCATGAACCAAGTTATCAAAAGAAAGGAAAATTTCGTCATTCTCTTCTTTGTTTCATAGGTCATCATTTAGAGGAGGAAAAATGCATAGACGATTAGATAATGAAAATAGAAATGCGAATATTGAAGAAACAATCTCAGATCTAGTGCGAAAAATAAGACTCACCATTGTGCGCACAAAGCTGTTGAAAACCTAACAAGGAAGTCTTAACCCTAGGTTTTTCAGCAGCAAAGAAGTGAAAAGAGACCGTGGCAAAATAACTGGAATTATAAAGCTGTTGTGTTGATATCTGGGCCGGCCCAAATGGACAAATTGACATTCGTTTGTTGCTATTTATACTCCGTTTACTTTCTGCACATCCTGTTTTATTATCTACACTCCTTTTTAATTTTTATGTAAAATAATAGACTTACCCTCATTTATCTCCAACAGTTCAAAATACTCTTATTTCTTTTGCACTCGCAGTTCCCCATGCACTACAAACGTACTTTTGTGCTTTAAGTTTGTCTCTCACGAAATTTTGGTTGAAAACGTCTCCTCATTAGGTATTTGAGAAACAATTTTGTTGTGATTCTTATAATTTTTAAAAAATATTTTTGCAAAACATCATTGAATTTCATGGATGCAAAAGATACTCTCCCAAATATAGAAAACCAAGAATATGTAACCTAAGATACATTTTGAAATGTAAAAATAAAGCGATTATTTAGAAAATACTTTTAGAATGTTCTTTTTATCATTTCAAATGTACTTTCTGTTACATAATTTAATTTTTAAGATTTTGGAAAGTACTCTCTAAAATATTTTTTTTTCATTCTCATGTTTTATAAAGTATTTTTTTTCTGAATTGTAAAAAAATAAATAAAAATATGGTTGGATGTACTTTCAATAATAATGTTTAATAAAATATGTTTATATAAATGCACTCTTATATGAGAAAAAAAGGATGGATGCGAAAAATATAAAAAAGGAGAAAATTTTCTTTTACCCTAGCAAAAAGTTCAGGGTCAATTAAGGGATTTAAAATTTTTGAAGGTATGAGAAAAAAAATTCGAAGTGCAAGAAGAAAGTACCAGTTTTGTTTGCTAACGAAGAAACGAAATAGAAAATTAGAGTTATTCAAACTCAAACCCTAACATTACAAAAAAGAAGCAATGTATCGACTTTTCTCTTGCATTCGCCATGACCAAGGATCTTCCTTTGAATCTCTCCTTGCATCAAAACCTGCATATCCATTCTATGAAAGTAGCTTAAGGTAGCATAAGATGATGGAAAAGTAGGGAACAGTGTGGGTGTATAACCTAGTTAGTGCAGACTGGGTAGAAGAATATGGAATCAAGGAAGTCAATGCTTTTATGGAAGCTTTTTGAATTAATTGAACTTCAATAGTTGGTCTGATGTTGTAAACGGAAAAGAAAAAAAAAGAGTTCGGAAGAAAATAGAAGTAGTGGTGGTGCATTAGAAGGCGTTGATGACTTGTTCGAAAGATCAAACAGTTGGCATGCATGATGAGAGGCATGGACTTGGGTGTGCTCATCAAGCCACAAAGCCACTGCCAACATCAACAACATTATTTAATAGGAAAGTGGCAGTGTTAAGCCAGTGTCAAGGGTTGCCATTTTAACACCCCTACCAGTCATTCTTTCTATACTATTATACTATTATTTCCTCAATCTTAATTAATTTTTTAATTAATCTTTTATTTAATCTTCCTTCTCTATCATTAAAGGTGGCGGTGGAGGAAGGATGGAGTTGGATGAGACATGCACGGTCGTGATGGTAGACGTTCATTGGCTGTGAGAGCTTAGGTGGAACGGAACTCCTTTCTAGCGTGGAGGTGCAGATGTTTAGGAAGATTTAGGATTTTAAAAAAGATAAATAAAATTAAATGATAAAAGTTAAATTAAGGTTGGTATTTTTGGAATAAAAATAATAATGAAAAGATGTAGGGAGTATTTGGGATGGTGGAGGAAACAATTTTAAAAATAAAATTTTAATGAGGGGCAAAATAGTAAAGGAAAGGTGGAGGAAGGGGCAAAATGGTAAAGGGGAGGTGGAGGAAGAGATGTGTGGGGGTGGAGGGAGCAACACCCTTAATGGTATATGTTGGATCAGTTAATATTAGATCCGTACTTTCTTCTTGCACCTCCATATTTTCAAAATTCCAATTATATCTCTGTAATTATATTTTCGGGTTGTGCAATCTTTATATATTTTGGATTACACTATTCGAATTCGAAATTCAGAAACATAATTTTCATATATTTTAGGTTATATAATTTGTGATGTAAATTTAAAAGACAATTCAAAATATAAATTACATTCTGAATTATAAGATTCGTAATGTATATTTATATTACGGATTATACATTTTATTATGAAATTTTTCGATATAGTTATAAAACAGAATGTGACTGGAAGTAGATAAAGAGTAGCCTAAGATACTCACCAGATTTCAATGCTTAATGCTGCCAATAGTGTCGAGTTCAGTTTCAAATTCTTTAATGCATCAAAGGAGAAATGCACAGGCAATGAAGGGAGGAAGGACATCTTAGTGGCGTGGGATGAAAGGGATGAAGGGTATTAAAGACATTTCAATAACATTATGGGGGTGCAGAAAGAAAACATTGGGGTGCAGGAAACAATGTCCAAATTCAGAACATGTAATTCGATAGTCACTTTTACAAAAGATAAAATGGTTATTTTGAAAATTTGGGAGGCTCATGAAGAAATTGAGGAGGTGGAGGAAGTGAAAACCTACTAATCTCCAGCTAACTATACTATGAACTATTAGTTGTGAGACATGAGTTGTCATAATTTAAATATATTATGATAAAAACATTTTTCTGTTTTGTTTTTAACCTTAAACTTTAATGATGTATTTTTCATCTTCCATGAAAAGTAGCAACCCATAGCTTGAGCCACATGTCACGTGCCTATGAAAAAGTTGTTTAGAGTCAACTAGAAATCCACTAGGAGGAGCAGAATTCGTTGATGAAGCCATTGATGCATGGAAAGTTGCAAGCTGGCAAAAAGGTCTAAGGCGTTTTGAAAACAATCTGATCTGAAAACTGAAGTTCCACTCGTGACTGTAGCCACCACAATTCATCACCTATGTGACAACAATTATGCTGTTGAATATTAAAAGCATGCATCAACCCAAGGAAACATACCTCTTTTCACTTTTCGCTTTTTTCGTCTCTTTCTCATTCTTCATATAGAGCCTTGGGCGGCGGAAATAACTTCTCTTTGCATCTCCTCCGTTCACCTCACATCACATGCCTCATGCACCTTTAGAACTATACAATCATTCAATTATTCAATCCCAATTTAAATCCCACCTAAAAGTTGCCATGCAAAACCCAAAACCTATTTCTGCCTACTGCATACCCTGATAAAAATCTCTCTTTTTTATTTACTTTTTACTTTGGAAGTAAATTATTTAACGGCTATAAAAAGCCATGATTCCAGTCTCACTGCATCGACATCAACATAGAATTTAAGGTTCATTATTTTCACCCCAATGGCAGTTCCCTCAGGTTTTGTTGGCACCATGGTGGTGATACTTTTTGGTGTGGTTGTGTTATCTGGGGTCGTTGTCCCAGGGGTTGAGGCCAAGTCAAGGGCTTTCTTTGTGTTTGGAGATTCACTCGTTGACAGTGGTAACAACAATTACTTGGCCACCACTGCACGAGCTGATTCCCCTCCTTATGGCATTGACTATCCATCTCGCAAACCAACCGGTCGTTTTTCCAATGGCCGCAACATCCCTGATCTTATCAGTTAAGCACAATCTATGTTTTTTAAAAACAGTCTGCTTTTCTTTAATTATGCACTTACGTGGTGATTAATCTAACGCATGCACTTAGTAATAACATGTTTTGTTGATTATCAGGTGAAGGAATGGGTGGTGAATCCGTGTTGCCATATTTGAGTCCACAGCTAAAAGGTGACAATCTTCTGAACGGAGCCAATTTCGCTTCAGCCGGAATTGGCATTCTTAACGACACTGGAGCTCAGTTTGTAAGTCTGTTGTTGTCTTGTTGTAGTAATCATGGTCGAGTTACGTAAAATTTATTGTATAAACTTGCTGATCACTAGCTACTTGCAGCTGAACATAATCAGAATGTATAGACAGTTGGACTACTTTGAAGAATACCAGCAACGAGTGTCCATTCTCATTGGAGTAGGACGAGCAAAGAAACTTGTGAACCAAGCATTGGTCCTCATCACTGTTGGTGGCAACGATTTCGTGAACAATTACTACTTGGTACCTTATTCTGCAAGGTCTCGCCAGTTTTCGCTGCAGGATTATGTCAAGTATCTCATTGTGGAGTACCGTAAACTCTTGATGGTAATCAAATCATTCTCGTGTATAAACTGACACACGTGTTATAGCTTAGATTAATTTGTCGCAAATTGTTGCAGAGGCTATATGATCTGGGAGCTCGAAGAGTGCTCGTGACAGGAACTGGACCAATGGGTTGTGTTCCAGCAGAACTAGCCATGCGTGGAACAAATGGAGGATGTTCTGCTGAACTTCAACGAGCTGCATCACTCTACAACCCTCAACTACAACACATGATACAAGGACTCAACAAGAAAATCGGCAAAGATGTTTTTATCGCTGCAAATACAGCACGGATGCACAATGATTTCGTAAATAACCCTGCAGCATATGGTACTTGATTATTACTACATACAAGAAAAACTTTTATATTAATTGTTCTCTCTATATATACAGGCATATGTCAAATTGTATATTTTTGTTGTTGGGCAGGATTTACTACATCAAGAATTGCTTGTTGTGGGCAAGGACCGTACAACGGGATTGGGTTATGCACACCACTCTCTAACTTGTGCCCAAACAGAAACTTGCATGCGTTTTGGGATCCATTCCACCCGACAGAAAAGGCAAACAGAATCATTGTGGAGCAGATTATGTCGGGTTCTAAACGATACATGAAACCAATGAACCTCAGCACCGTCCTAGCATTGGATGCTACAAAATGACAGCACTTATGATGTTTTCTTTGTTGTTGTTATAAACTTGTATCGATTATCAGGTGTTTTTGTTTTGTGTGTGCCATTGTCATAGTCTTTAGAGTTGTTATTTCACGAACAAATTATTCATCAATTCAATAATTTACTCAGAGTCTTCTTTTCTTTTCTTTTTTCCTTAGCCTTTATCTTTTAAGAATTAAACGTCAATTTTTACAACTTCGTTTCTTAGTTAAAAGTGTTAGAAAGTGGATTTTTTAAGCCTAACTCAATCCCACAAAACCAACTTGTAG